CATTTCTCATAGAGTTCTCTACAATCTGAGGTGATAGAGAGATAGAGAGTAGGAAACTTCTCATAGACTTTCTTCTCAATCTGAAGTTATAGAGATAGAAGAAAGTAGGAAACATTTCCTCATAGACTTCTCTACAATCTGAGGTGATAGAGAGAGAGAGAAGTAGGAACATTCCTCATAGACTTCTATACAATCTGAGGTGATAGAGAGAGAGAGAAGTAGGAACATTTCCTCATAGACTTCTCTACAATCTGAGGTGATAGAGAGAGAGAGAGAAGTAGGAACATGTTCTCATAGACTTCTCTACAATCTGAGGTGATAGAGAGAGAGAGAGAAGTAGGAACATTTCCTCATAGACTTCTCTACAATCTGAGGTGATAGAGAGAGAGAGAAGTAGGAACATTTCCTCATAGACTTCTCTACAATCTGAGGTGATAGAGAGAGAGAGAAGTAGGAACATTTCCTCATAGACTTCTCTACAATCTGAGGTGATAGAGAGAGAGTAGGAACATTTCCTCATAGACTTCTCTACAATCTGAGGTGATAGAGAGAGAGAGAGAAGTAGGAACATTTCCTCATAGACTTCTCTACAATCTGAGGTGATAGAGAGAGAGAGAAGTAGGAACATTTCCTCATAGACTTCTCTACAATCTGAGGTGATAGAGAGAGAGAGAAGTAGGAACATTTTCTCATAGACTTCTCTACAATCTGAGGTGATAAAGAGAGAGAGAAGTAGGAACATTTCTCATAGACTTCTCTACAATCTGAGGTGATAGAGAGAGAGAGAAGTAGGAACATTTCCTCATAGACTTCTCTACAATCTGAGGTGATAGAGAGAGAGAGAAGTAGGAACATTTCTCATAGACTTCTCTACAATCTGAGGTGATAGAGAGAGAGAGAGAAGTAGGAACATTTCCTCATAGACTTCTCTACAATCTGAGGTGATAGAGAGAGAGAGAAGTAGGAACATTTCCTCATAGACTTCTCTACAATCTGAGGTGATAGAGAGAGAGAGAAGTAGGAACATTTCCTCATAGACTTCTCTACAATCTGAGGTGATAGAGAGAGAGAGAGAAGTAGGAACATTTCCTCATAGACTTCTCTACAATCTGAGGTGATAGAGAGAGAGAGAAGTAGGAACATGTTCTCATAGACTTCTCTACAATCTGAGGTGATAGAGAGAGAGAGAAGTAGGAACATTTCCTCATAGACTTCTCTACAATCTGAGGTGATAGAGAGAGAGAGAAGTAGGAACATTTCCTCATAGACTTCTATACAATCTGAGGTGATAGAGAGAGAGAAGTAGGAACATTTCCTCATAGACTTCTCTACAATCTGAGGTAATAAAGAGAGAGAGAAGTAGGAACATGTCCTCATAGACTTCTCTACAATCTGAGGTGATAGAGAGAGAGAGAGAAGTAGGAACATTTCCTCATAGACTTCTATACAATCTGAGGTGATAGAGAGAGAGAAGTAGGAACATTTTCTCATAGACTTCTCTACAATCTGAGGTAATAGAGAGAGAGAAGTAGGAACATTTCCTCATAGACTTCTATACAATCTGAGGTGATAGAGAGAGAGAGAAGTAGGAACATTTCCTCATAGACTTCTCTACAATCTGAGGTAATAGAGAGAGAAGTAGGAACATTTTCTCATAGACTTCTATACAATCTGAGGTGAGAGAGAGAGAGAGAGAGAGAAGTAGGAACATTTCCTCATAGACTTCTATACAATCTGAGGTAATACAGAGAGAGAGAAGTAGGAACATTTCCTCATAAACTTCTCTACAATCTGAGGTGATAGAGAGAGAGAGAGAAGTAGGAACATTTTCTCATAGACTTCTATACAATCTGAGGTGAGAGAGAGAGAGAGAGAAGTAGGAACATTTCCTCATAGACTTCTATACAATCTGAGGTAATAGAGAGAGAAGTAGGAACATTTCCTCATAGACTTCTCTACAATCTGAGGTAATAAAGAGAGAGAGAAGTAGGAACATGTCCTCATAGACTTCTATACAATCTGAGGTGATAGAGAGAGAGAGAAGTAGGAACATGTCCTCATAGACTTCTATACAATCTGAGGTGATAGAGAGAGAGAGAAGTAGGCTGGTAACCAGAGGTCGCCCCCTGCTGGACGTCAGATGTGATGCAGCAGGTTTCCTCTAGTAAATGTGCAGGATTGGATTTAAATCCCTCTTGTTATTGTTACAAATATTGTGTTTCAGTGAGGACAACGTCACAGTCAGCTGAAGTCCGTGGTGTTGTTCTGAGTGTTTCTGAGCTACTTCAACAACAAACAGATCAAACTCTTGGGAACAAATCAGGTCCACTTAAAACACTCAGAAGGACTTTATGGCAGGAACAACGTGTGTTCATTGTGATCGTCCCTTTTGCAATCTGTGTTCCGCAGTCTGTGTATTGACATCTAATCAGAGGTGTCTCTGCTTACCTCTGTTGCTCAATGTTCAACTGTTCCTGTATATATCTGTGTGTGTGTGTGTGTGTGTGTGTGTGTGTGTGTGTGTGTGTGTGTGTGTGTGTGTGTGTGTGTGTGTGTGTGTGAGTGCGTGTGTGTGTGTGTGTGTGTGTGTGTGTGTGTGTGTGTGTGTGTGTGTGTGTGTGTGTGTGTGTGTGGGCTGCAGCCTGAAGTCCCTCCCCCCCTGCAGCTCTCCTCTATATATACACTGAGAGAGACGGAGAGGACAAGCTCTGCAGCGCCTCACTGGCACACACACCCACACACACACACACACACACACACTCTCTCTCTCTTAACTCACAGGGAGCGTGTGTGTGTTCAGCAGAGAGAGAGAACGGGCGAGAGACTCAGAGTAAACAGACTGGTGTGTTTTATTCTGCAGCAGGAGTACAGAGAGAACACACACACACACCCTTACCCACACACACACACACACACACACACCCTTACCCACACACACACACACACACACACACACACACACTTACCACACTTACCACACACACACACACACACACACACACAC